GGCCCTCTGACCACCACCAGTAGGCAACGGGTGAAGTGTCTTGCCCAAGGACACAACGACCGAGACTGTCCAAGCCGGAGCTTCCGATTACAAGGTGAACTCCCAACTCTTGAGCCACGATCGCCCCATAGATAATGAAGTTAGCTATAACAATATTTATTTTTCACCAAATCATTTTAAAATCTTCTCACATATTTTGCTTGCGCAGCCTTTCTGTGGAGTTGCATGTTCTCCCTGTATCTGGATGGGATCTCTCCAGGTACACTGACATCCTCCCACAATCTAAACTCCTAAATTCCCACTAACATGCAGTTAGTGGGGTTACTGTGGGTCAGTTGGCGATTCTAAATTGCTTATAGGTTAGACTACTTTGTCTTTTTAATAGAGCAATAGATGCAACAGCAGCACTTGCTGCATGTCCATTTGCTGCACATTTGTCTGAGTAAATCGGATATCCCATGAAGATAAAACTATTATAGAGCAGCTAAAAGTGGCGGGAGTGTTTAAGGTGTCGATGCCCTGCATTTGTCAGAGTTATGGCAGAAATGTGGCGCTGCAATCTTACGCTTACGAGGATAACAAAGAGCTTGCTCATCGGCTGGCAGCGGTGCAGACAGAGTTCATGTAGTTGGTCCGGAGCCAGTTTATGCGTTATGTGTAACCGATACAGGGCAGAGGGGGTGGGTGGCAGAAATGGTATTTGCTGGGGGCAGAACAGCTCTCTGTCACGGGGTGTTCTGGATGAAGTTGTTACCACAACATAATCCTTGTGTCACCGATTTTCTTTGATATGCTGCGCTTCGCAACGTCAGTTTGTCTTTATAGTAAATCTAAAATCTGTTCTTTGTCTCAAACACTCTTCAGGACTGAAGGGTGGCTGGAATAAAGCTAAAAGCATGACGTGGGTACAGAATTAATTTAGTCACAGCAGAAAGCAAGAAAGAGGCAGCTGTTTAATAATCAGTGGATCATTCATAGACTGTTTACAGAGAATCTAATCCAATGATTGTGATGTTAACTGCAACCAAAAGAAGATCAAAAGAACATAAAAATATAATGGAAACATGAATCAGGTCATAAAATGTTACAAAGTTTATATTTCTGCCTCAACTTGCTTCTCAAGTATTTTTCCTTTCTTATTAATTCACCGAATTATCTTTATTTATCAAAATGTTATTGATTAATTATTTATTTATGTTTTGCATTGTTCCAACTTTTTATTTTCCCCAAACTTTTACTACTTTTCCTACGACAGTTACATGAATACAGAAGCAAGTCATCTGGATAATGTTTTATTTATGATTTTAGCCGGTTATGTCTTCCATAGTTGCTCGGCTTCAGCTCATTATTAAGAACAAACTAATTGTATAGCACTTGTGACACGTGGGCTCGGGTCATAAGAGATCCCTCTCAGTCAGATAATTTATATGGTATTTTTAGGTTTTAGATTATTTTCCTTGTCTGTA